TAATTCCTTTCCTTCATTCATGATTGAGTGGTGTGTTGCATTAGGATAGTTCATGGTTAGGATAGTCCCGGTGTAGGTGCATGACTGCATTAAGAGGTTGAGTGAGTCTCCCTCTGCTTGCTCGCCCTAAGGGTTGAGGTGATCCTCCCCTTGCTTGTGTCTTGTTTTTTCTTTATGTATCTGATGTGTTTGCATTGAAAGGTTGAGATGAGCTCCCTTTGCTTGCCTGTTTTTGATGGATTTCTTTGCTTGACTGCACTAATAAGTTGAGTCTCTCCCTCTGCTTGTGCTGCATTGCATTTGCATCTTTACTGTTTTCTTTCCTGTTTATCTGCTTTACTGATGTTTAGCTGATGCTTTGTCTGTTGTCTGTTTCCCACTTCACATGATCCCCTAGGATTCTCACTTCCTTGTTTAAGGAAGTGATGATTAGACTTTAGGCTGAAGCCTTTGCATGATAACATATAGGAGTTCCCTGTTTCAAACCTCAACCATAGGACAAATTTGCATGACAACTGTTAGGACTTGATAGTTTCCCCTTAGTTGTATCCCCTCTCTTCTCATCTTCAAACAAATCAAAATACAGTAATAAAGGTTAATTGATATCGTACGTTACGAGCCTTAAGCTACTTAGGAAATGGTTATTGGAGGGTTTCCTTCCAATAATCAGGATGTTTAGTATGGTACCCTTTGGGTGACATGCGACACATTCACTCCTAGGTCATAGTCTCTAGTGCGATATGAATTGCAAACATCCATAAAAAAAAACACTTCTTCCGTAAAAGAAAAAAACAAACCTTCAAACCTCTTTTTGCCCCGTGGGCCCATAATTCAAGGAAAACTTTTCTAAAGAAAAGAGTGTCGTTAACCCTTAGTTCTACTGCAAACGGTAACGCACGAGACTCCGACAAGCAAGCTGCATACACCAAACTGCTGGAACTGTTTGTTAATCCTACTCGGAAAAACAGATGAATCTAAACCCGTAATCTATCGTATCCCGAACTACGTATGCTTTGATCTCTCATATTTGTTGAGAGTACGTAGGCACAATACTGACGTATTGGCGAGCCACCTCCCCTGTAACCCGTAGTTAGCTGAACTACGTTGACTCTGATTTCTCGTTCTCTAACGAGAATACGTAGGCACGAAGCGTGATGCTTTGTCGAGTCATTTTTCTTTTCTTTTTGAGCCAGCCTTGATAGGTAGATAGTTAAACCAACCCGTCAGATAAACACAACAAGCGTGGATCCCATCGAGTACGATGGACGTGAGGGGTGCTAATACCTTCCCCTTGCGTAACCGACTCCCAAACCCAGACATGGTTGCGGTGACCTTGTCTTATACCTTTTCGTCAGGTTTTTCCGATTGTTTCCTTTCCCTTTTTGTGGGATAAATAACGAAAGGTGGCGACTCTTCTGTTTTGCCGGCACCTTATTTTCGCGGTAGCGACACATGGCAAAGGGATACCACAATAATAATATATTTGAAAGGATCTCCTCTAGGTGAGGTTTTCGCATCGTCCCACAAGAAAGACTCCTCGTGAGTCTCTACTACACAACCATTGAGTACAAGGTTTCTAAAGGTATCTCAAAGTCATAGATCGAGGTTGAAAATATCGTTGTTAGAATAACAATACGTTCAAGGGATCTCATCTAATTGGGGATTTTGTGTCAGCCCTCATGAGTTAACACTACCAACCACCATGGAAGAGAGTTTAAAAGGTCCTTAGAGTTATTAATTCAAGCTTGAAACATTATTGCCATGGCAAAGGCTCACCACGACAATAGCATTTCCAAGGGAATCAACTCTAAGCGGGGATTTCGTATTCCTCCCAACGAGAAAGGCTAATCGAGGGATTCCACTACACAACCACCATTCTAATCCTAAGTTTTTCTCAGACTCAGGTATAAAGCTATCTCACTGAGTGCCCATAATCATAGAAACCCAATGAACACAAGAATTAAAGATAGGATATAAAGATAAATAAGTAAATAAATGATCAAGCAAGCAAGAACGAACAATACAAGAAGAAAACAAACAAACAAAGACTAACGCTCACGAGTCGAGTCAAGTTAGGCTTGACTCTTTCTTGCATAGGGCAGTGCATTATTCCCCAGCAGAGTCGTCAGCTGTCGTACCTCGAGAAAAGCACGATCCTTTGTGAAATGGTCGCGAAAAACAGAGTCACCATCGAATTTTATTTATCCCAAGAAGGGATGGGAAAATATCGATAAAACCTTTAGGGAAAGAACATGGTCATCGCAACCAAGTCCTAGGTTCGGGATTCGGTTACATGAGGGAAAGGTGTTAGCACCCCTCACGTCTGTTGTATTCAACGGGAACCTCTTGATTCGATTCGTGAGAAATATTAGGTCAGATTGTTTGTTTTCTTCAAAGGGAATAAGCAAAAAGGTAAATGAAAAGGAGTTTTAAATTTCTAAAGGGAAATGAGTGTTTTTTTTATTAGGGTGCTCGCCAAGGATTGGGGCCCTTGTGCCTATATATTCCCTCATACAATCGGAAATCAGGGTGTCCGTAGTTCAGACTACGGATGTTGGTTTGATTCTATCGAAAGATACTTAGTCGTATTCGATAGAAAATATTGCTTTACCCAAACAGGTGAGGAGAGGATGCTTGCATCACTTTGAATGGATTTCCACATATCAACATTCATGGGAAACACACCACTTATCTCGACTTAAATAGGTTACGGACGAAGAAATATTTTGTGTCATCTCAAGACACCATATCTCTCGTTTATGAAAAGATTTGACGGTTTGCACAGCGGCGAGAAATTGAATTAAATGTGTTGATGTTTTGTTTAGATGACAATTACTTGAAGTTTAAGAAAGACTCATCGGGCCCAAGTAATCGGGATAGTGGGTCAAAGACTTGATTCTCTCTCTTTTCCATCTCGAAAAAAGTTGTGTTTGGAAAGTGTTTTGAACGATGGAAGATAGTTAAAGTATTTTAAATCGGATGACGATTACTCGAAATTTAAGAAAGGTTCCTCGAGTCCAAGTAATCAGGAAAGTGAATCGAAGATCCGACTCTCTCTCTCTCTCTCTTTCTCTCTCTCTCTCTCTCTCTCTCTCTCTCTCTCTCTCTCTCTCTCTCTCTCTCTCTCTCTCTCTCTCTCTCTCTCTCTCTTTTTCATCCTTAATTATGAAAGAGTTTTGATATAGCTAGAGTAAGTTATGAATGACGATTACTCGTAGCTTAAGAAAAACTGCTCGGGCCCAAGTAATTGGGAGAATGATTCAAAGGCTTAACTCTCTCTCTTTTTCATCTATGTGATTGAGAAAATAGATTTGATTTCGATTTTAATTGAAATAGTTTGATGTAGAATCGGGTTATGAATCTTTTTAAAGAAGACAATTGTTCAAGCTTAAGAAAGGCTCCTCGGGCCAAAACAATTGAGGAGAGAAATTAAAGACTCAATTCCAACTCCATTTTCATCTTTTATTGAAATACAGTTTGAGTATAATTAAGTTCATTAAGTTGACTTTGATAAATGCTTGATGTTAATCGAGGTTTGAATTTGCGTACTAAACGGTTAAGGATTGGCCTAAATGGTAAAACAGTCCTAATAGATTGGGTAAGGTCGATGGTGAGGCAAAAGAGATCGACTTACAAGTTGGGTATGGTTTGTACCTTAGAGTTTCGATTTGAATCATCATACACACCAACATATAAGTAAAGAAAAGCAAATGAATTGAATTTTAATCGTGTGCACTAGAAAACTGGGCTAGTCTTCTAAACGACCAATTAGAAGTAATTGGTCGAATAGGTCTCATTGTAAGAAAGCCCAGAAGTAAGCTTTGAATATTGTGTATGGTGACCAAGAGGTTGATGGCGATGCTTAGAAAGCAATCGACTAACATGGATGAAAAATGGCTCGAAGTTGAATCGAGAATTTATTATTATTTAAAAAAAAAAGTTTAATCTGTGCTAGTGAGAGACAAAGATCAATATGGCATCATCACAACATGATCACAAAATATGAGTAAGGATATAGTAAAAATAAACTGTTAGAAATCACACATCAAATCAAAAATATTATTCATGACAACTATTAATTTAATTAAATATGGATAATTAATAAAATTAAATAGGATTTTAATTTAATTAATATTAAGTAAGTATATTTAATATAAATAATAATAATATAATTTTATTTTTGTTTTTGTGAGTATTATGAGAAAATAAATGATTATAAAAAAAAGAATATAAAAGAACTAAGTTAAAAAAAAACAAATACAACAACAAAGAACAATGCCAAAATGGGCCTGTGACAAAATGAAAATGTAGGTGCAACTGGAAAAAGAAATTGGGCCCAAAACTTGATGAAGTCCAGGCGCGGGAGGATTTGTGTGTGGTTTCAGCCAACACGAGTTGTTTTTGGGAAGATCAGGACCGTTAGATCCTTACAGAGTCAAAGGCTGACTCCATCAAAGGGTGTTTAAGTTGAGGGTGTACAGTATGCACAAGAGGGGATTCACACGAGATCCCGGTTGACCCCAAGTCAACCCTACGTGTCGTTCACATGGCGGGCCAGGTGGCCTCACCCCCTCCACTTGGCAATGCAGCAAACGAACAAGAAAAAGAAAAGAAAAAAGAAACCAAAATGGGGTTCACATCAGAACCCCCCCTATTTTTCCTCAATCATTCTCTCTCTCAACTTCAGTATTCTCATCTTCTCTCTCTCTCTGAATACTTCGCCGGAGAAAGCCAAAAATTTGTCGGAGAAGACGAAGTACGGTGCAAACCACCATCTTTTCCGGTGGAAACCCCTCATCTCAAACCCAACACAGACCCCACCCTTTTTTCCCCTGAGCACAAATCTACCATCAATTTCAACCAAAACCTCTTGCAAAATCTAAATTGAAACCCTCCTTCTCAAAAACCCTAAACCTAAAAACTTGCTAAAACAAAAAGAAAAAGCAGAGAGAAGACCAAGTGCGAGTAAACGAAGCTTTTCAAAGCAGAAAGCAACAACAATGGGATGGCAAGAGCAAATACCTCATAAACGAAAGCCAAAGCATAAAAGTGTGATTACCCTTGAAGACTACAAGCATAGGTAATGCTTATTCCTCACCTCCCTTGCTACTCCTCTTCTTGCAACGGTTGTTAGGGTTTGTAAAAAAATTAGGGTTTTTCTGTGTGTTTCCAAAAATTTAGGATCCTTGTTCTCTGAAATGAGGTTTCATTTATATTGAATCGAATTAGGGTTTGGAGACAAAATATGTAGAATTTATGAATCCCTGTTCTGCTATGATTATGGTCTTGTTTGCTGAATAATTTTTTCCATTTTTATGCTAAAGTTTCTGTACGATGTATTTCTGCTACTTCCTGTTTTTTCCATTTCTGTCGTATGAAAGTGGTCCCCATTTCTTGAACTGATACCATGATTTGACAAATGTAAATTTTATGAAAGTGAGTATACAATATGAATTTGCAAATGAATAGGTATTGAGTCCTGTCTTGTTGGTGACATGATACGGATTGGATTTGATACTATTTCAAAATTATCTAAATTGATTAGCTTTTGGTAGGATTGAAACTTATCTTCTCATTATGAATTTGGAATGAAATATGTGACTTGAGTCTGAATGTTTTTTTTTTTTAAGAGTTTGCATAGTGGTAGAGTTTGAATATGGTATGTGAACCTAATGTGTTTGAGTGCATTATTTCTTGTATGTTGACCTATGGACCAATTGTTTGATTGAAAAAAAGAAAAAGCTTGCGGATGTGATATTGAAATTGTGTATTGAAAATGCTTGAACAAGGATGTGGAATTGAATTTTATTTTGTAGTGCAACTTGAATTAGTTAGAATGAATCTTGAAACCCTTGAACTTTGTTGAATTGAACTGAATAAAAAAGGTAACATGATTGTTTTGAATGTGATGGATGAACTTGAACTGATTTGGAGGAGTTTGAATTGGATTGTAACATGATGAACATGAAGTGATATGTTGAATATGCTTGTATATGTATGAAAAAAAAGTAACTATGAATTCTGACTTGGATGATAAACATGAACTTGTTAGATCTTGCTCTTATATGATGTTGATGTTGAATTGTAAATTTCAATGAGTTATGATGTTTAGAATTGAAATGTTATAATTTAATGAACTTGATTGAAAAATAATATGTTAAACTTGAATTGAAATCACATGAAGATGCTTGCTTGATATGTTTGAACATATTGCAATTGAATTGGAAATTTTATGAAATGGTAACTACATGAAGCTTGAGAATTTATGAGAATGATTGAATTGAGTATGCAAACTTGGTTATTTGGATCTTGGAATTTGAATTAAGCATGATGTAGACACTTGAATTGATTGGAATTTATCTTATCATCACAAATTTGGGGTGAAACATGGTGACTTGAATTTGCAATATGGTCTAGAATTTGATCATTGTGTGTTTTACCAAATTCTGCAAGTTTTGGTGACTTTAGGGAGATTATGGCAGTGGCAACTTGGATGTTTTGGATGGAGCTTGGCCCAGAGGCACTTTGGTATAAGGTGACACTAGGAAAAGAGTTTTCTTTTAGACTTATGATTTGTGTAAATTTCCTCACTTTTGAACTTGTAATAAACTTGGAATTTTGTAGTTTTAACTTGGGATTTGAATCATGGATTGATAGTTGAAAAAAAATTATGTTAGACTTCATTAGAATTGATTATGAATGAAATGTATCTGTCTGTGTTATTGATTTCTAACTCAATGGCCTTTTTATCATTGGCCCCCTTGAAGAACTTTGGTGTGACCATTTGATATTTGAATTAAAATTACAACATGACATTGAAACTTGAAGTCTAGTTTTGTAGTAAAATTTGAAATGAAAATTGAAATTGGAAATAATTGGGATTTGAATTTTATTATATAGAATGAAATCGGCTTGAAACTTGATAGCTCTTAAGAAAGCTTGGAGATTTTGAATCATATCTTGAACCTCTCGAAAATGAGTGTGAATTGAATGACTTGAAATGATACTTGAATTGGTGGTCATAAATTGGAAAGAGTCTTATGAAATTAAAACTTAGAAATTGACAATGGACTTGAGTTGTTGTGACTTAGACATAAAATTTGAAATATAGCTTGAATCTAAAATTTGAGCTTGGAATGCATGGATTAAACTTGAAATGGATATGAAATTGAAACTTGGAATGAATTTTTGAATGGAACTTAAATTTGAATGATTTGAAATTTGACTTGAGTTTTGCTTGTAATTAAAGCTTGAATAAATGAAAATTTATGGAACTTTTGGAACGAATTTGCCTTGACATGGAAAGAACTTATTTGTAACATTGACATTGAATTGGTTTCTTGAAGAAAAAATGCAATTTGAATCTTAGAGTTCTAAAATCTTGGAATTGCCTTGAAATTGGCTATTTGAAATAATTTTGCTATTTGGAAATTACCAATCACAATAGTTATTCTTAAATGCATACTTAATAATTTTGCTATTTGGAAATTACCAATCACAATAGTTATTCTTAAATGCATACTTAATAATGTATCTTGGATTTTTAGAACACACAAGACTTGCCCATGGACTCAAACTTGAGTTCACATGAGTTTGCAAATAGGAGTTCATCCTTTGAACCTAAAACCGAATGGCCTCGCTACTTTTGGATCATGTGAGGTTTTAATCTTGGCACCGGTGAAAACTCTTTGAAACTTGTATCCCTTCCCCTTATCAAAAGTAAACCAAAGATGCTTTGGGTTTCCTGATTTCTAAGTCTTGCAACGTCTCAAAATCTAATCTCCTTAGGACTATCCATTGCTTTGAAGAAACACACAACCTATCTCTGCTAATCCCTTTGCTTCAAAATACCCAAGGGTGAACTCATGATATGAAATGTTGGGTGAAAAATGAGGGTGTGACAGGACGTCAACGACAGGTTGATATCTCCAGCAAAGTCCAATGGTCATTGGCACCTTTCAGAATCAGGTTTGGGACGATCTCCCAGCAGTTGGTATTTTAATTTCCCTCAGGGAAGATGTTTTAAGCAGAGCTTGTTAATTCCCAATAGAGTGAAATTCTCTATAGATTTTTATTACGTTCCCAGCAGAGGGGGATCCCCAACGGATGTTACTTTTATTTCCCCTCAGAATAGAATTCTCAGTAGAGTCTTACGTCCCCAGTAGGGTGGATTGTTCATCAGGTGTTACTCTTGTATTCCAAGCAGAGTGGAGTTTTCAGTAGAGTTCGTTTGTCCTCGGTAGGGTGGCCTTCCCAGCAGATATTCCTCGTTATCCCCAGCAGGGCGGATTTCTCATTAGGCGTTAATCTTTATTCCCCACTGAATGGAGTTTTGGTATTTTTCCCCTTCAGAGTGGAATTTTCCCTAAAGGGTTTTTGTTCAGGAAGGCCATTCAGGGCGTATTCCTCAACAGAGTTGATTTGCGAATCTTCTCAACACTTTTTCGGCTGGTGTTCTTTTGCATTTGCATTTTGCATAGTATCCTCCCAAATACGTAGCATTTCCATTTCGTATGGAGCATTACGCCATATTCAAACATATGCATCTAAAGCATAGACCAGGTTTGATATCTTTGGTGTTGGTCGTCTCTCTGGCAGATAATGGCAAGATTCAGGAGATTTTGTTTTATCCTCCGTGGAAATCCATAACAGATATGTTCATTTCACTTGATTCTCCTCGGCAAAGTCATTTGTTTAAACCTCTCCTTCCCCGTTGGAGTATTCATTTCAGGTTGTGAGTCGGTTGATTATACTTCCTGCCTATCTCGGGTGTTGTATTCCAACTTTTGGTTGATAATCCCCAACATAGTCTTTCTTGGATGTTATCCCAACTTTTGGTTAGTGGTCCTATTTATTTTGTGTGTTATCCCAAATTTTGATTAGTAGTCCATTGTTTCTTGGATGTTATCCCAACTTTTGGTTGCTATTCCTTGTTATTCCAACTCTTGGTTAGTATTGTTTCTCCTGCAGAGTCGTTATCCCATCTTTTGGTTAGTAGTCTTCGTTGTTGTGAGTTTGCTTTCATTCGGTGTTCTGGTGATTTCAACTTTTGGTTGGTAGCCTTTGCTTGATTCCATCTTTTGGTTGGTATAGCTTTGTTGACAATTCCAACTTTTGGTTGGTAGTCTTCCCTTCCGTTGATGATCCTAACTTTTGGTTGGTAGTCTTTGTTGTGGTAAGTTCTCCTTCGTTTAGCGTTCTGGTGATTCCAACTTTTGGTTGGTAGCCTTTTCTTGATTCCAACTTTTGGTTGGTATAGCTTTGTTGATGATTCCAAATTTTAGTTGTTAGTCTTCCTTTCCGTTGATGATCCCAACTTTTGGTTGGTAGTCTTCGTTGTGGTAAGTTCACCTTCGTTCGGCGTTCCGGTGATTCCAAATTTTGGTTGGTAGCCTTTGCTTGATTCTAACTTTTGGTTGGTATAGCTTTGTTAACGATTCCAACTTTTGGTTTATATTATTCGTTTCCTTGTTGATGATTCCAACTTTTGGTTAGTAGTCTTCGTTTTGATGTTGATGATCCCAACTTTTGGTTGGAAGTCTTCCTTTGTGGGTTCAATTGTTGGTGTTGGTATCTTTCCCCACAGAGTTCGCCTTTGGTCGGTGTTCTGGTGATTCTAACTTTTGGTTAGTAGCCTTATTTTCCAACTTTTGGCTGGATTTTATCCTCTTACAAAGTCGTTATCCCAACTTTTGGTTGGTAGTCTTCATTTGCGGATCCAGTTGTGTTTGGTGTTTAAGTGATTCCAACTTTTGGTTGGTAGCTTGTGTTTATACCTTTGTTGTGCTCCAACTGTTAGTTGGTAGTGGGTGGGTCATTCCAACTTTTTGTTGGTAGCCTTTTCCTTTCATTCTAACTTTTGGTTGGTACACTCCCTAGTGAAGTCGCCATTTCTTGGAACTTTCCAACTTTTTGTTTGTATTCTTCCCCATCAGATCGCCTTCGGTCAGTGTTCGGGTGATTCTAACTTTTGGTTGGTAGCCTTTGTTTATCCTGACTTTTGGTTGGTGTTCTTGTTTGTTGGTTCCCCGGGGAGTAACCTTTATTCCAACTTTTGGTTGGTACCTTGGTTATTGTTCCAACTTTTGGTTGGTATGTTTGGTTGTTATTTTATCCCCCTGGGGTCGCCTTCGGTCGGTGCTCCGGTGATTCTATCTTTTGGTTGATAGTTGTTGTTCATCCCACTTTTGGTTGTTATCTTTGGAAGATGTTTATCCTCTACAGAGTTGTCTAGTTAGGCTTCTTTTCTCCCCCAGCGGAGTCTTTTTATCCCCAGGTCATAAGTCCGTTGATTTTTACTTCCTGTATATCTTTGGTTATTTTGTCCCAGAGGGTCGCCTTTGGTTGACATTTCCGTAATCTCAACTCTTGGTTGGTATCTGATGGGTTTTCCCAACTTTTGGTTGTTGTTCTTTGTTCATATTGGAGTTTGATCCTCTTCTTTATCCCAACTTTTGGTCGGTATCCGCAGTGAATCGCATCCCAAATTTTGGTTGGTATCAAATATTTTCACCCCCGCAGGCTGCAAATTTTCGGTTTATTTTGGTATTCAATTTCCGTGCACCTTGAATGTTTGAAAGTTGTTGTTATCATCCTTTCAGGTTCAAGTCTATTGAATAGGGGTACCTATAGCACCCCAAAATTCGCCTCATTGTTTCTTGATTTACTGGCTTATATTTCTATGCATTTTTTTTGCATTTTTGCATAGCATGGCATTGGCTTATAAGATGTGGGATCAAGGTTTTTCATGGCTCGGGGTTCTAGTTTATTGCAAGAGTTTAAACAGCGAGCGTCAGAGGCTTCGACATTTATTTGGTCCAGCAATCGGGTGGTCGATTTTATTTTATTCAGCAAGTTATTTTCAGCACAGGAGACAGGTCACAGGATATCTCAGGCATTCTCATAGTTATAATATTCAAGGGCAAGTTTCAGAGGCTTAACAGGGCTCATAACGGGTGAATGTGCAAGTTTCCCTCCAAATGGCGCTATTTTTTAAATTTTTTGAGTGGTTAACCGATTAACCAATTTGCACTAGCAAATAGCTAATCGATTAACCGTATTAAATTTTGTCCAGTAACGTGCATTTCCAATGCTGCCACTTTTGGGGTCTATTTTGATCACCTGCGAATTTGATTTTACACTAGAAGAAGGATCTAGAATCACTCTAAATTTTTATTAACTTTCAAAATCAATTCAATTTCCCTTCAGTTTTCCATTATTAATCCCATCCCAGTTTTCATAACCTCACTCCAAACCATAATTCTACTCCTAACCAAGAGCCTATTTAAGTTAATTTGCTCCAAACCTCAAAAGAACCCTCACAATTTCAAATTTCACACTCATTCTCTAGAATTTGCTCTAAAATTCTTTCAACTTTAATATACTCCAAAACCTCCATTAAAGCTTTTTTCTTGAGTTCATTGATTCTTCATCGGAATCCTTGAATTCTAAAGCTAAACCTCCATCATTCATCTTCATCATCTTCGATTCATCATTTGAATTTCGTTTGGATTTGAATCTGATCTTGGAAGCAAGTTTATAAGTGATTCTTGGATCAATTTTGGCTTATTTTGGCTTGTTCTTCACTTCTATTGTAAGAAAGCTCTTGGTTCTTGAAAATTTCTTGGGTTTCTATCTTGGATCTATCTTTACAGTGAATCA